TCTGGTGGACACAGCAGACACAGACCCTGACTTCTTGCAGCTTACTCTTTAATTGAGGGATGCAGTGAAATATGAGTTAAGCAAATAAATATCTAATTGTGAGTTATGATATGATGGACAGGAACTGGGTAAGTGAGAGAGGATTAAAGGGCCTTGATGAAGGCGCGGCACCTGCCCTTGGGAAGTACACAGTTTGGTGGGAGGATAAGCCAGTCAAAGAAATTATGTCCCTGTGATAGGCAGAATAACAGCCTCTAAAGATATCCAAGCCCTAATCCCCAGGAAACTGTGAATGTGTTACCTTACATAGCAAAGAGGACTTTGCAGATGGAATTAAATTAAGGACATTGAGATGTGGAGATTCTCCTGAATTATTTGAGAGAGCCCAATATAATCACAAGGGCATTGACAAGCGAAAGGAGAAGGCAGAGAGAGATTTGAAGACACTGTGCTTCTGGCCTTGAAGATGGAGGGAGGAGCCAAGAACCAAGGAAAGCCGGCGCCCTCTAGAGGCTGGAAAAGGTAAGAAAACGCATTTTCCCCAGGAGCCTTCAGAAGGAACTCAGCCCCGCCTGCCAATGCCTTCATTTTAGTCCAGTGAAACCTAGTTTGGACTTGTGACCTCCAGAACTGTAAGACAATAAATTTATGTTGTTGGAAGCCACTGAAATTGTGGTGATTCATGACAGCAGCAACAGGAATGTAACACTCACATGGAGGAGAGTGACAGGTACTGCCTGAGGAGCATCCTTCTTTGCTGCTCCTCTTGATAAGAGAACACTTCACCAGAATAGTTAATATTTTTGCCCCTCCCATTCTCTTCATTATTCAAATTAAGATTCACACACCTACACACACACATACACACACACACACACACAACCACTTCACCAGACTGCTGTTATCAGTCACACCAGTGACCTCTGCTGGTGAAATCCAAATAGCCATCTTTCAGTCCTCACCTCTCTGGACTTTGCAGCAGCAGGTGACCCGACTGCACATCTGCCCTAAAGGAAAGCCCCTTTAGACTTAATTACAAGACATCACACTTTCTGGGTCCATTGACATAGCTGGAAGCCCCCTTGCTGGATGCTCCCCATCTCCCTGCCCCTAAATATCAGAGCAGCCCTGGACTCTTTCCTTCTTCTACTTTGTTTCGTGATCTCATCCACTATATTGGCTTCATCTCATCTAGTAGGCTGATGACTCCCAAATCCGTACCCCCATCTCCTCCTCTCTGGAAAGATTTTGATCCAAAGGTATACTTGAAATGCCCATTCGCTGTCAAAACAAACAGAAAACTCAACATATTCAGACTGAACTTCTCCTTTTCTCACCCAAATCTCTTCCTCCAATCATCTCCACCTCAGTGATTGGTGCCTCCATTTTTCCGGCTGCTCAGTGCAGAAATCGAGGAGTCATCCTTGACCCCTTTCTGTCACTCACACCACACTCCCAATCCATTAGGAATTCTCAGTAGCCTTAACTTCAGAATTCACACAGAATCCAATCAAGCCCCACCCTCACACCATCCTGGTTCCAGCCACCATCAACTCCTGCCTGAAATGTTTCACCAGCCCCCTTTCTAACATCCCTGACACACAGAGTCTCCCTGTGCACAGCAGCCAGAGGGATCTTGAGAAAATGAAAGTGGGATCAGGTTCCTCTTCTGCCCGAAAGTCTCCAGGTGTCCACAGTGTCCTGTGTGTGCAGACGTGACGTACACACACGCTGACTTCCCCAAACTCATTTCCTGCTTGTTGGCCCTGCCTCCCTCTATGTAATCACACGGACTTCCTTGCTACTGCTCCTTCATTCGCTGGTCATCCTGCTGTGTCTGACTGTTTTCCCCTGATGTTCACTCTGCCTGGAGGGCTCTTGGATCACACAGTCAGATTGAGAACTCTTGATCCTCCTTCATGCCTTTGCTCAAACATCACTAAGAAAACCACAAGCCAACCTACGGAATGGGAGAGAATATCTGCAAATCATGCAACGGATAAGGGGTTAACGTCCAGAATATATAAAGAACTCCCACAAATAAACAACAACCACAAAAATACACCCGTTAAAAAATGAGCACAGAACTTGAATTAGACATTTCCCCAAAGAAAATATACAAATGGCCAATGAGCATATGGAAAGATGCTCAACATCACTAATCATTGGAGAAGTGCAAATCAAAACTACAATGAGATATCACCTCACACTCATTAGAATGACCAGTATAAAAAAAAAAAAGGTATTGGTGAGAATACAGAGAAATTTGAACCCTTGTGCACTGTTGCTGGGAATGTAAAATGGTGCAGCCACTATGGAAAACAGTACGGAGGTTTCTCAAAATATTAAAAATGCAATTGCCATATGATCCAGCAATTCCACTTAGGAGTATTATCCAAATGAACTCAAAGCAGAACCTCCAAGAGACGTTTGCACACTCACGTTCCCTGCAGCACTGTTCACAGTAGCCAAGAAGTGGAAGCAACTCTAATATCCAGTGACGGATGGATAGATAAAGAAAATGTGGTGTATACATAGATTGGGATATTATTCAATCTATTGGGATATTTGAAATGAAGGAAATCCTGTCACATGCTACAACATAGCTGAACCTTGAGGACAGTATGCTAAGTGACATAAACCAGTCACAAAAAGACAAATGCTGCATGATTCCACTAATATAGGGTGTCTAGAGTAGTCAAGCCCATGGAGACAGAAAGTAGAAGGGTGGTTTCAGGGGCTGGGGTGGTGGGGGAAGTGGGTAGTCAACGAGTACAGAGTTTCAGTTTTGCAAGATGGAAATGTTCTAGAGATCTGTTGCACAACTGCACACTTAAGAATCCTTATGATGGTAAAATTGTTATGAAATTTTCACTACAAGAAATAAATAAATCCCAAGAGCACTCCACAAGCCATCTCCTCAACACTGTCTCTTCTCTGTACCCTGCATTTTCCCCAAAGCACACGTCTGCCTTGCACATTCTATTTACTTATTTGTTGTTAGCTTGTTTTTTTTTTTTGTTTTTACGAGTTTGATTATCACCCTCTGTCTAGAAAACAACTTCCTTGAGCCAAGATTTTATATATTTTTCATGATGGGTCTCTGTCACCTACAGTGCTCGTCACTCAGTAGGTGCTAAATAACATTTCCTAGAGGAATTAATGAATGAAAAGATGCATGTTACCCTGCTGTCAAAACCTTCCAAAAGCCCCCAGTCACACTCCAAATGCAATCAATAAGTGAAAAGTGTGGCATGTCCATCGGAGCATGGAGGATGAACAGGAATGAATGAGCGGAAACGGGGAGGGAAGAGCTTTAGAGGACGAACAGCCCATGCAGACACCCAGAGGCACAAGTAACCGTGTTCTGGTTGATGACGATGAAAAGTCCAGTGTGCATGGAGTGTGAGTGGGAGGTGGGGGGAGTAGAGGAAGTGGCCTGGACAGTGAGGCTGGGATCAGGGTGAGGCAAGTGAGGGTCTCATCCAAAATGAAAAATTAAAATGGGAACCAAAATCCTCAGTAATTGAGATTAACAGTATTTGAATACAAGATTTTTTAAATCAAAATGAATGCAAAAAATCCCATGCAGAACAAAATTCAATACTTTAAATAACCCAGGATTAGTAAGAGTGCCCTTCTGCAACAACTGGAGACTGAGGCAGAGGAAAAAATGTGTGCCCCCATATACGTGACTTTATGTATTTTAATGGTCAATTTTCTCAAAACATTAAAATGATTGAAATATTACTGAAAACCTGAAAATGCTGTGTATTAAAACATTATTGTAAGTTTCAAAGGTTTTATGTGGACCCGAATCAGAATTTATTACAATTTTGATTTCATGCCTTTACTGGAAGCAAACACAGACAGAATATTTTCAAAATCTCCTTCTCTGCCTCTCTCGTTTTCAACTGAGAATGCTGCCACTTGTGACAATATCTCTTGACCAAGTTATGATCTTAAATAATTATTAACTAACTTCATTATACTCATCCTACCATTATTTAGATTTTTGATATTTCACTCATCGTGGATTTTTTTCATTAATTTTGATTTTTAAAAAATACTGCCATAAAGTAGTACCTCGATTGCTGAGATTTTGGACACTTTTCTAAGTTTTGTGTCTCAAACTAGTGCCTCACTCTCCTCACCCTAACCCCGGGCCTTCTGGACACGTAGGTGCTGAGAGGCCAAAATACACAGGGCTGTGGGCCGAGGAGTTGGAGCTTCATTCCCTAGGTCAGGGGTCAGCAAACTACATACAGCCCTGGGTCAAATCTGGCCCACTGCCTGTGTTTGTACATAAAGTTTTATGGGAACATAGTCATGCTCATTCATTTACTTATGGTCTAAGGTTGCATTCATGCTGCAAAAGTGGAGTTAAGTGGCTGCAACAGAGATTCTATGGCCCAAAAACCCAAAAATATTTATTCTCTGGCCCTTGACAGAAAAACTTTGCCATCCTCTGCTGTAGATGATGGGGGCAAACAGATGTTCAAACGCAGATGAACTGAACAATGATGGCTTTAAGATGATCACTCTGTGTAGGGCAAGGGAGATGAGGGGCAGGGAGATGAGGGGTCCAGGAAAGAGTTCCTAAAGCCTCAGCGATGACGGGGGTCAAGATGGAGAGAGGGAGACTGATGCTAGCTGTTTCTAGGAGGAAAGTAGACAAGACGTGGTGAATTTTTGGCTGTAGCAGAAGAAAGGGAGGATAGAGAGAAGGTGACTCCTCCATTCCTGGCCTGAAGGGAAGAGCAGGGGCTGTCATGCTGTCAGCAGGATGAGGATCCGACTTGAAGGGATGAGGAGGAGGAGATGAGGAGAGGAACTTTGGCCATACTGACCAGGGTAATCCAGAGAGTCACCCCGGGAGAGGTGTCCAGGCACAATGCTGGATGGAGAGAAGTCCAAGTAACTCACCTGTGAGACTGACCCCATGACAGCGTTTGCACACTCCATGCCCGCGTCACCCACATCCTCTGCTGGCCTGGCCGCTTTCTTCCTGCGGGACCTCACTCTGAGTGAAGAGACCAGAGAGCATTTCAGTCTGGCCAGCTCAGGGTGCAGTGGGCAGACTGACCCCTCCTCTGTTCTCTCTTAGTGGCTGGAGGGGTGACAGAGGTGGGAGAGGGATGGCCCTGTCCCAGACACCCCATGGTTGAGAACAGGCTCCCCCCTTCTGGGCAGTGGGACCCGGGGTTTGTGACAGACTCACCCGGGTGCCGGGACCTCCTTCCTGCCCTTGCTTCAGGCTCTGGACCCACCCAGTCCCCCAGCTCTGGCTTCACGGATCCGTGGCTGCCTGCCCTTCCCACCCCAGGGCTCTCCCTCCCTTCCCAGGTTCCTGCTCACATGATGACGATGACGCAGAAGGACAGGAAGAGCAGGGCTGTAGCACCTGCTCCCCCCACGGCCCCCAGCACCACTCCTGATAAAGGCCACGCTTTTCCTGCAGAGGTTTGGATTATTAGCGATTCTCTCTGAGAACTTGGTCTCTTCTCCTCCCACTCCCTGTAGGACCCCACACGTCTGTGTTCAGTCCACTTTGCCATGAGCAAGAACAGGAACAGGCTCATGGGCTGAGGGTGCGGGTTAGGGTGAGGGGACTGAGGCATACAAGAGCTGAGTTGCCGCCTCTCTTTCAGTGTCTTTCAGTGACACTCGGAGTCCCAGGGAATTTCCAGGCCTCACAACCCAGCACAGACCAGAGCTGAGTTCCCCTCTGAAGCTCAGGGGACTGCTGGGTGGACTATGGGGTGGGGTGGGTGCTGTCCTCCTCCTCCAGCCACTCCCCCATCCACCGGTGCACTCACTCTGCAGAGAGAGGCTCAGGGAGACATGCAGGGAGCCCCGAGGGTGCTGAGCTTGGCAGGTGAATTCACCCTCATGCCCCGACTCCACCTGAGGCAAATACAAGACCCCAGGGTATGAGGGCTGTGAGGGTCTCAGGGTCTGATTCCCATGGGCCCAGCTCAGCCTGGCAGAGGGGTTGCTGTCTACAACACAGACCAGGCGCAGGGACTGGCCCTCCAGGACTGAAAGAGATGAGCCATTCTTCAGGACTGTGGGTTCTGGAGAAGAAGAGACAGAGGGTCAGAGAGGCAAAGAGATGGAGAGAAAATAAAATGATGCAGGAGACCTCGTGAGGGGGACAGACACGCAGACGTAATATGAAGTGCAAGAAAACACACACTTTCACCCCTCGCTGGTGGGAATGTACACTTGTCCACTCTCCATGCAAAGAAACTTGACCATATCTCTCAAAATTAGAAAGAGCGTAGGAAGCAGCCATATTTTGCTTTTAGGAAGTTATCCCACAGACACACACACAGGTCAAAGGAGACACAAGAGTATTCATTTCAATGTTTCTGTTACTAGAAGAAAACAAATGCCATGATTTTTCCATTAAGAGAAGATGCACACAAATCAGAATCCAGCCAGGCCGTGGAATACGGCACAGCCACGGGGATGAATGAGAATAGTCTGTACTACTGACGTCAAATGACCCGTAAGATCCTTTAGGTGAAGAAACCAAGGCCCAGAGCAGCCTATGGACACTGGTCCCTTCCTGGGAGGGGACTGGGCGTCTGAGGACAGACTCTGCTGTGCATTGTGAATTTTTGACCATGTGAATATATTACCTGTTCAAAGATGCTTAAACAGTTGTTAGGGAAAATAAAAAGATGAGACTGGAGGATTCCTCAGGAGATGGGTGACAAGGAGCCTCAAGAGATGGGCTCTGCTGTGTGAATGTTGCCCTGTTCTCCTTGTGGAGCTGAGAAGGCGGTTGGAGACGTCTGATGGGGGTGACGGGGCCGATGGGGAAATATACCCACAGCTCCTTCCTACCTGTGCTGTTTCCTGGGAAGACAGTGATGGTCAAGTTCTGTGGAGAGTCTGGCACAGAAAAACAAGGTGGCCCCGCATCAGTGGTGAGGGCTGGGTGGACATGGGTCCTTGTCCCCAGGGGTTGCATAAATGGGGGAGGGTGGAGGTGGGCATCCTCATGATCCCCTCCCAGCCTGGATTCTGGAACCCACCACCACAGTCTGAGACCCTGACACCCCCATCCCCACTGCCCTCAGGACCCCCTCAGGGACCAGGGCTCCCTGGCCCAGTACTCACAGGTGACGTTGAGCTGGATGGTCCTTTCCACAGTTAGACTGGTTCTGGGAAACTTCACCCGACATGTGAGGTTGGTGCCATGGTCCTGGGGCCGTGGGGTGAGGGTGAGCACAGAGGAGAAGCGGGTCCTGGGGTCCGGGGAGGTGAGGGCTGCCGAAATCCAGGAGAAGATGTGGGGCGTGCCCTCCTCACAGGCCCAGGGCACAGAGCACTTCAGGTTCCTGGGGCGGCTTGACTCCAGGGTCTCCGGGATGAAGATGTCAGGTGTGTGGGTCAGGGCTGGTGAGGAGATGGGGAGACACTGGGATCAGGAGGGAGAGTCTGAGGAGCGGCCCTGAGAGAAGCCTCAGGCTTTGGTCCAGCTCTTCCCTTGGACCCCTGACCTGTTTTACCCCCAAACCACTCCCAGGATGGAAATTCCCCTCCCTGCTCCACCCTGGGACCCCCATGTCCTTCCGCTGTGGCAATTCCTGGAGCCAGCGCCTTACCCGTCACGTGCACGGAGAGCTGGTTACTTGTGTAAGAATATTTCACACTTCCTGTCTCCACTCGAAAAAAGTATTTTCCATCATCTGTCCTCCTGGCGTCTCTGATGTCCAGGGAGCAGTTGTATCTCTGGGGGTGCCCAAGGAGGCGGAATCGGCCCCGGGTCTCCTCCTGCACTTCTCGATTTGGGCTGTTTGTGGCCACAGGAGCATCCTCGTCAACTCTGGCCCCTTCCCGGAACCAGTAGCCATGAGCTGGGGTAGAGCTGCTCCAGCGACTCCAAGGGTAGGAGAAGGAGCAGGGCACAAACACACACAGGCCCTCCTGCACTGTCACTGACTCCTGCACTCGCAGCTGGTAACCCGCTTCCAGCTCTCCCCATCCCTCGGCCCCCTCCCTCCACCACAGCAGGGCCAGCAGCAGGAGCAGCAGCATGTCTGGTGTTGGCAGTCCCAGCTTCCCCAAGAAAATCTGTTTCCCGGGGTTCTTTCTCAGTAACTAAAAGTTGCAGACTTAGAGGAGACTTTAACAGGAAGAGGAGGGTGAGGTCAGAACAGTTACCCTCCTCCGAGGAGGAACTTCACACCCAGAAAGTATCAGGGCTGGGACAGCCCATGGAGTCAACCATCCACCAACCACGTCCACTCCTGGGGACCCCGGGCGAGGGAAGGTGAGAGGCTCACCCAAATTCATAGCCCTTGCAGGGCCTGAGCCCCGTCTGCTGCCTCCCTGTCAATGTCCTTTCCCTCGGGGATCGTTTTCCGCCAAGTGAAAATTGTGCCTTCTGGCCAGACCCCCTGAGTCTGTCTGTGGAGGTTGGTCCAGCCCGGGGTGGGACTCAGGGAACCAAGATATGAGGGAGGCTGACTGACATCCTTCCCTCAGCAAAACCATGGTGGACATTCCCTCTCTGCTCACGAGGTCACACACCAGCCCAGGTCGCAGACCTGAGTCACTGTCCAGTGGCGAGACAACCGGTGTCCAGGCAGTTGGAGCTCCCGGTGACCGGGACTGCGATGGGGGACACACAGGCAGTGTGGGGTGTTGCTCTCCTTCCAGGTTGGAGGTTATGTCTCAGGAGGACTGGGCAGAGGGGACACTCAGGCGGTGGAGGCCAGGATTCTGTGTGTTAACACAGCTAAGGATGTCGAGGGAAGCCTGGCGCACAGGACCCCTGGAAACCAAGGCTATGATTCTCTGTAGAGTGGGGTTTGGAAGTTAGGAAAGTGCAGGAGGGAAGGGGTAGATTTCAAAAGGGATAGAAACTTCCCCCTTTGTAGAGACAGTATGGGCGCCAGAACGGATTTCTTCATCACCGAAGTCTCAAGGGGCCGTGCTCCTCCTCATTGCTCCGGAGCATGGCAAGATCTGCCTACCTCTGGGTCTTTGCCTTAAGCAAGCTCTGCTCTCAGAATTTGGGTGTGCAGGAGACACAGAGCAAGGAACGCTGGCCTGGGGATCGTCCACCTTCAAGGATGATGAGGATTTCATGAGAGAAGAAACATGCACCTGGACTCACAGAAGGTTAGTTTTAAGAGTGTGGTGGGGGCTGGGAGGAAGTGATGGGAGTCCTGGGAGGTGGTGACTGTCCAGACGCAAGTCAGTTTTCTGGAAAGATTTTTCTTGGGAAACGTAAGGCACATACAAAGAAGTACCCCCACAAGAACAGCGCAGTCATTCATCAAAAAATGAACACCCGTGGCCGGGCCCGTGGTGTAGCAGTTAACTGCTCGCACTCCGCTGCTGGTGGGCCCAGGTTCGGATACTGGGAGCGCACTGATGCACAGCTTGTCAGGGCATGCTGTGGCCACGTCCCATATAAAGTAGAGGAAGATGCGCATGCATGTTAGACCAGGGCCAGTCTTCCTCAGCAAAAAAAGACAAAAAAGTAAAAAAGAAAAAAAAGAGGAAGATTGGCATGGATGTTACCTCAGGGCTGATCTTGCTCACAAAAAAAAAAAAAAAAAATGAACACCCTCCAAGAAGTAGAATGTTAGGAGCACCCAGGACCTTCCCCCTAGATCCCCTTCCCTATCACCACACCCCACTCCCCACAGGGAGCCCCAGCCTCACTGTAATGTCATTTATTTCCTTGCTTTGCTCTGTGGTTTTATCATCTGAACATGCTGCCTTTAACACCATGGCTTTGCACGTGTTTATCTTAAGACTTTGTATACATAGAAAAATTACAGTCTTTCTTCTATTTGACTTCATGAAGCTGCCCATCCCATATTATCCCCTTCCCAGAAGTATCACCCAAAACCTGGAGGAGAGCCAGTGCTGTGATCGTGGAGAAGGAAGGTGGGGGGTTGGAGCCTGCATAGACACTCCCACACCATCACCATTTCCTGCATTCAGTTGGAATCTCATCCTGCAGACCCCTCCCCATCCTGGGCCCCTGTGCTGGCCACTCACTCTCTCCCTGCAGGGGCAGCTGCAGCATCTGTGCTCAGAAGGGCCTGGCCATGCTGATCCTGTTCCCATTGTTCCCAATTTGCAAAGAAAAGCAGAAGAACGGAAAGGAGAGACATAGGGAAAAAAGTAACTCTGTGCAAAAGAGGAAGTATGACCCACAGGCCATCAGAGCTGAGGGGCATTCTAGCTTTACTTCTCCATTTTGCAGGAGAAGAGACCGAAGTCCAGAGTAAGCAAGTCAATTGCCCAAATCACCCAGGTGCTCTGTGTCATGCACTATTCTCTGCACCTTGGGCCACTTCATCAATCTTTGTCAGCCCAGCTTTCCTTGGATGAGAGGCAAGAAGTTTACTTTAATCTGGAAGGGAAGAATTTTCAACTCAACCCAAGAGGGGAGGGAGGAGATTTAATTCATTCATTAATTCATTCAACAATCATGTAAATCATGCCTTCACATTGCTACTAAGAGGGTTGAATATGAAAAGTCTAGCCATTGCCTTTGAGCAGAGCACCATCTGGTAGGGAGACAGGTTACCTGATAATTCCGGTGCCATAGGCTAGGTGGCTGTGATGGGGAAGCACACATGGGGTGGGTGGAGCTCTTGCTCTTCTGGACTGGACGGTGAGTCTCAGGGAGGACTGGGCCAATTAGTCATGATAGAGACTCTCGGGGGGCACGAGGGATGTGAATTCTGCAGGTGATGCTGGTACCCTGGGAGTTGTCAGACTCTCAGATATTATCTTCTCACTACCACTCTCTCCCATACTGTGCTGGAGAACTTCTGCCAACTACCAAGTTCTGCGCTCTGAATGTGCCCAACCACACATTTGCCCCAGCCGACCATAGATCACCACCCATAGGGGGCGCTTCTTCTGCCCAGGACTTACCTTGCTCCTGGGGATTCCTTAGGAAAGGGCAATGGTGCTGTCCGTGGTGCTTATTCAGAGCTGAGTGTTGACTTTGGAGATGTCTGCAGCTCTGTGGAGGGGCCTGCTCACACAGCACAGGGACCTTAGATCTGGAGTCAGGAGGGTCAAGACATCAGATGTGCTGGGGAGGGCTCAGGTCTACCTGGGAGGAGACACTAGACAGGGGGAACTATCTCTGTTTCTCCTCCTTTTCCTTCTGTCCACTCTCAGGAATGTCCTATGAACAATGTCAGGTTGTGGTCACCAGTCCAAGGGCTGGAAAAGTGAAGGTTTTGTCCTGCACCTTTGCATATCTCTTCCCATTTCATTTTCCCAACATCCCTAACAGAGAGGGATGTTCCCCTCATCAAGTGGAGGAGGCAGCTTAAATTCAGACAGGTGAGTAGCTGTCGCAACTAGTCACCAAAGACAACCCCAAACAATCCAGACCCTCCTTTATACAAACATGGCGCTCCTCTCCTTACAAGATGGAGTTGGTTATTATTATCTCCTCTTCTTGAACCTAGACGGGGCCCATGGCCGCGTTGACCAATAGAATGTGGAGGACAAGATGTTCTGAGACTCCTATGGCTCAGACATTAAGAAAGCCTGGCAGGTTCCACTCCCGCCTCATGGATTTCTGGGCATCTGTGTAAGCAACCACGGGGACTCTGATGGAGAGAGATGCTACATAGAGGAACCCTGACGTGTCAGATGTCCAGCCCCAGTCACTGCCACCATCCCAATGTGAGTGCCTGAAAGAGCCTGAGGCAAATCTAGGGGTGAAACGGCCCAGCTGAGCTCTGTCCAATTTACAGAACAATTAGAATAAATAATAAACAATAGAATAAAATAATTGCTTGAGCCACTGTGTTTTAGGCTGATTTCATGTGCAGGGCGAGATAACTAAACAGCAGCCAGGCAAATCATAACTAATAAGGAAAAGGTTAAGTTGAAAGTTTACTCACCTAATGGATTATTCCTTTTACTATATTTAAAGGATGACTTTTAAACGGTTATTTGAAAGCTTCAGTGAACATACTCGTGGAGGATTTGCCAAGCTGGAAATACTTTTCCCAACATCCACTTCCCTCTTTGCTTCCAGGTTAAAGTTGGTCACAAGAGAAGGGAGGAGTTGAAGCAGCAGCCACCGGGCTCTGAGGGTCAGTGGAGGCGGAGGTGCTATGAAGCCCTTGCACATCATCACTGATGTTTGGCTCACCCTGCTGGTGTGACGTAACAGCTGCTCAACTGCTGGAAGGCAGGGTGGGGTAGCGGAAATCCACTGGCTGGATTTCGGAGGACAAGGAGCACCAAGCCTTAGTACATGGATTGGTGACCCAAGTGGACACAGTTGGCCCAGAGAGTCGTTTACAGTGACGGGCAAAGGATCCAGGAGAAGAGCATCCCTAGTATTTCTCTCCTACTAAGACATTGTCCCATGATCTCTTTGACCTGACAACCTGGGCCATTTGCCTATTCATAGGAGCCCCATATTCCCCAGGGCAAAGGGCAGGAAATGGCCCATCTCAGTATTCAGAACACCCAGTGCCAAGAGACTCAGACTCCACCCTCGCTCCCCACCCTGGACCCCTCTGGCTCCTGATCCTCTCACCTTCCCACAGCATGGACTGCAGCAGCACTACCAACAACAGAAACATCTCTTGAACAATAAATGCCAGCCACTGCCCTGGGAAAGTCTGGCCACCAGGGTCCCTCAGCATGGGAAGAATGGCTTGGGAAAAATAAGAGTAAAAAACAACAGGAAGTGAGTGAATAAGAACAGGAGAGTAATTGTGCACATAACTGCAACTTCAGACCCACAGCTGCTAGAGATGCGGAAGATCTTGGAGATCAGCCCTCACCACTTCCCTACTCTGCAGAACTCAACACAGGTCTAGAGAAACAAAAAGACTTCCAAAAGTGATACTGACTGATGTGACTTTCATACTCTGAAGTGCTTATGAAAAGTTGGAATTTTTTCTGCCCTGCACATTCGGATGAACTTGTCATTGAACTTTTTCCCTGGAAAATAATGATTCCCACTGAATCAATTCCTTTATCGATACAGGGCTATTTGGGTTTTTCACTTTGGCCTGAGATGCTTTCAGTAAAATATACATTTTT